ACTAACTTTTTAATAGTAAAGACCCACATATGTCTTGCTGCTTGTGAGTAGGCTCAATTCATTAAACTAGCCTTTTTATACTAAAGGCCCACATATGGCTTGCTGCTGGTGAGTAGGCCCAAATCAATATCTATACTTAATGGCCCATTTCTCTATCACTAACTATTAAGAATATACAAAAGGGCATAAATAACATGTCAAATCATGCCATAAAATTTTTAATAATTTCACAAGTTCTAAAAGTAATAGGGACGGTCCCCGTACGGAACCATTCAATCGGGTTTTGTAACCGTTAGATCATCATGTAATCGTCGTGAATAATTGATCTAACGGTTACAAACTCTGACGGAATGGTTCCGTAACAGAACCGTAGCATCTCCCAAAGTAATATACTACTAATAAAAGCCACATTTTTTTCTTTTAAAATAAATATAAACTAGTGGGATGCAGTTAAATCACACAAATATATCTTTATCAAGTCAACAGTCATATCAGCAAACTACAATAAACATTAATGATCAGTACCTAAATTGATTACACATAGACTAGTGTATTATAAAAATTCATCTGTAATAAATCTTTCACTTGATATTAATGCATAGTCACTGATCATAGAAAATAATTCCAATAGATGTTGCATAGTCACTGATCTGCAAAATCCCAAGAAGGTGAGAAAATTGTTAGATAAAAACTAATTTGATCCAATGTATGTACATATATATGTATATATACATATATATATATGTACCTATGGTTCCGGTGGATTGTAGGCCGAAATCTTGAAGGTTCGGCTGTGTGGGCTGGAGCCGATAAGCCGACGAGGAGTTTGTGTTCATAAGAGGCAAAGTTGATCCAAGGTGAAGTTCATCTCCAAAAAATGCAAACTGGTTTTGGAGCAAATTAGGTTGTTCTTCGAGCAACTTTAGTTCTTGTTGATGTTGTTGTTGTTGTTGTTGTTCGATTTCGACTTGTTTCTGGATTTGATTGCTCATCAGCTGTTGATTTCAAGATTCTTAGTTAGTAATAATGTATAAATTATCATATATATATACAAAAATAGAATTAAAATATTGTTGGATATATATTATAAGAATATTTTTTTCATATTAATATTTTAAATGAAAATTGAATAGCTAGGTAGATAGATGTGTGTGATTAACTAATTGAATTTGTTCTATATACAATGTGTATATCTACAAACATTGTAATGTTTAAATTTAAATCAAATTTTATTACCCAATTATACATTTCTTGATTCTCTTTCTCCATCAACACTTCCTGAAAGAACAACATTGATATATAACAAAAGAAACTAAATATTTAAAGGGAAAAAAATGTAATTTTTTTTAATAAGAGTAGTAAATTAAAATGAATATAACAAATAAATTAAAATTAACAGTTTTACCGTCCTCTTCAGATTTTCCAGCTGTTCTTGAAGAAGCTGAAACTGCACTCACAATCAAAAAAATTCCAAATAAATAAAAAAAAAAAAGGTAAAACATAACAGTAATTGAGTAAGTACAATAATATTCAGTATTTACTTAGAATGAATTAAACAATTTCTTACTCATTAAATGAGTAGAAAAATATATGTACTTTTTTTTTTACCTTACGAGCTCGAACCTTACGAACCGAGTGTTCAAGCTGTTGCTCGAGCTCGTTAAGCTCCTCAAAATGCACGCTGCTCAAATCGTCGCCTTTGTACTTCTGAAGGCTCAGCTGAAGACTAAGCGTCTCGTTTTTCATTCGGGTTAACTCTTTGTAATATTGGTCCTGAGATTGATTGTTTCATGAACATACAAAACAAGAAAGGGATGAAAAAAGAGAGGTAATAAAATAAACAAAAAAAAGAAAAGAAAAGAAAGAGACATATTACATTGTAAGGAACCGGTCCAGACCGGTTTTCGTGCTCGGGCATGAGGATTCCCTTAGTTTTTACATATCTGTCTATGATCTGCTTCATGCTGTGAGAAAATTTGAAGCAAAACAAAAATAATAATAATTTGCTACACAAAATGAAAAAGGGGCTAATGCAGCACTATATACATAGCTAAATCATAAATGTGCCCTAATTGATAGTAACTGCCAAGAAAAAAGCCATAATAAATTTTTTTTATTTTCATAACTATCAAATCAGATGTATTATAATAATATAACTTAACACCCAACAAGAGACACCCTTCTCACAGAATTTCATAATAATAATAATAATAATAATAATAATAATAAAAAGGAAGAATTTTGAAACAATGTTATGGTGAAATTTACTATAGACAATTTTATTACCATAATGTAGGGGTACAATACTCAGTCAACTTTCCCTTGCTGGAGAAGACAATGAGCCCGATTTGCGCATCGCAAAGAACCGAAAGCTCGTGGGTTTTCTTGATCAAGCCGGCTCGTCGTTTAGAAAACGTGACTTGACGGCTCGTGTTATTTTCGATCCTCTTCACTTCTATCTTGCCTCTCCCCATTTCTTGCTTAAGTACTAACATAAAATGCACAAACAATAAAGACAGAA